AGTGTCAGTTGTTACTTCTCCTTTTTCATTTCTAATTCTGTTGATTTGAGTCTTCTCCCTTTTTTTCTTGATGAGTCTGGCTGATGGTTTATCAATTTTGTTTATCTTCTCAAAGAGCCAGCTTTTAGTTTTATTGATCTTTGCTATTGTTTCCTTCATTTCTTTTTCATTTATTTCTGAGCTGATCTTTATGATTTATTTCCTTCTGCTAACTTTGGTGTTTTTTTGGTTGTTGTTCTTTCTCTTATTGCTTTAGGTGTAAGTTTAGATTGTTTATTTGAGATTTTTCTTGTTTCTTGAGGTAGGTTTGTATTGCTATAAACTTCCCTCTTAGAACTGCTTTTGCTGCATTCCATAGGTTTTGGATCACCGTGTGTTCGTTGTAATTTGTCTCTAGGTATTTTTTGATTTCCTCTTTGATTTCTTCGGTGATCTCTTGGTTATTTAGTAACGTAGTGTTTAGCCTCCATGTGTTTGTGTTTTTTACGTTTTTTTCCCTGTAATTGTTGATTTCTAATTTCATAGCACCGTGGTCGGAAAAGATGCTTGATATGATTTCAGTTTTCTTAAATTTACCAAGGCTTGATTTGTGACCCAAGATGTGATCTATCCTGGAGAATGTTCTGTGTGCACTTGAGAAGAAAGTGTAATCTGCTCTTTTTGGATGGAATGTCCTATAAATATCAATTAAATCTATCTGGTCTGTTGTGTCATTTAAAGCTTGTGTTTCCTTATTAATATTCTGTTTGGATGATCTGTCCATTGGTGTAAGTGAGGTGTTAAAGTCCCCCACTATTATTGTATTACTGTCGATTTCCTCTTTTATAGCTGTTAGCAGTTGGCTTATGTATTGAGGTGCTCCTATGTTGGGTGCATATATATTTATAATTCTTTTATCTTCTTATTGGATTGATCCCTTTGATCATTATGTAGTGTCCTTCCTTGTCTCTTGTAATAGTCTTTATTTTAAAGGCTATTTTATCTCATATGAATATTGCTACTCCAGCTTTCTTTTGATTTCCATTTGCATGGAATATCTTTTTCCATCCCCTCACCTTCAGTCTGTATGTGTCCCTAGGTCTGAAGTGGGTCTCTTGTAGACAGCATATGTACAGGTCTTTTTTTGTATCCATTCAGCCAGTCTGTGTCTTTTGGTTGGGGCATTTAAGCATTTACATTTAATGTAATTATCGATATGTATGTTCCTATTAACATTTTCTTAATTGTTTTGGGTTTGTTTTTGTAGGTCTTTTCCTTCTCTTGTGTTTCCTGCCTAGAGAAGTTCCTTTAGCATTTTTAGCTGGTTTGGTGGTGCTGAATTCTCTTAACTTTTGCTTATCTGTAAAGGTTTTAATTTCTCCATTGAATCTGAATGAGTTGCTTGTTGGGTAGAGTAATCTCGGTTGTAGGTTTTTCCCTTTCAGCACTTTAAATATGTCCTGCCACTCCCTTGTGGCTTGCAGAGTTTCTGCTGAAAAATCAGCTGTTAACCTTATGGGGATTCCCTTGTATGTTATTTGTTGCTTTTCCCTTGCTGCTTTTAATATTTTTTCTTTGTATTTAATTTTTGATAGTTTGATTAATATGTGTCTCAGTGTGTTTCTCTTTGGGTTGATCCTGTATGGGACTCTCTGCACTTCCTGGACTTGATTGACTATTACGTTTCCCATGTTAGGGAAGTTTTCATCTATAATCTCTTCAAATATTTTCTCAGACCCTTTCTTGTTCTCTTCTTCTTCTGGGAGCCCTATAATTCGAATGTTGGTGTGTTTAGTGTTGTCCCAGAGGTCTCTGAGACTGTCCTCAATTCTTTTCATTCTTTTTTCTTTATTCTGCTCCCTGGCAGTTATTTCCACCATTGTATCTTCCAGCTCACTTATCTGTTCTTCTGCCTCAGTTATTCTGTTATTGATTCCTTCCAGAGTATTTTTAATTTCAGTAATTGTGTTGCTCATCACTGTTTGTTTGCTCTTTAGTTCTTCTAGATCCTTGTTAAATGTTACTTGTGTTTTCTCCATTCTGTTTTCGAGATTTTGGATCATCGTTACTCTCATTACTCTGAATTCTTTTTCAGGTAGTTTGTCTATTTCATCTTCCTTTATTTGGTCTTGTAGGTTTTTTATCTTGCTCCTTCCTCTGTAACATTTTTTTGTCGTTTCATTTTTTTTTTTTTAATGGGTGGTGCTGTCTTCTTGTCTTACTGGTTGTTTGGCCTCAGGCCTCCAGCACTGGAGTTTGCAGGCAGTTGGATAGAGCTGGGTCTTGGTGCTGAGATGAGGACCTCCAGGAGGCCTCACTCTGGTTGATATTCCCTGGGGTCTGCGGTTCTCTGTTAGTCCAGCAGTTTGGACTCAGTGCTCCCACCACAGGAGCTTGGCCCGATCTCCTGCCTGGGATCCAAGATCCCACAAGCTTTGTGGTGCATTAAGAAAAGAAAAAAAAAAAGAAGAAAGAAAGAAAAGAGGAACAGTACAATATCAAAGAATAAAAAACAAAATAAAATTAGAAAGATAAAAAATATATTAGGAAAAATAAAACTGTAATTGAAACAACTGCAACAGGGTAAAATAAAACCACAAGAGAAAAAAGAAAAAAAAGGGGGGGGTGAACAAGCCAAAAGGAGAGAACAATAACAAAGTATAAAGAATAAAATAAAATTAGAAAAATAAAAGAGTACAAAAAATGAAAATATAAAAGAATGAAGAACAATGAATGAACGAGGTAACACAGAACCCTAATGTAAAAGTGGAGGAAAAAAGCCCTTGGCTATGGGCGCGGAACTTAGACAGGGGCGGAACTCAGGCTGGGCTGGGGTTTAGGGTGGGGCAGGACCTAGGCAGGTTGGGGGTGATGTTTGAGCATGGTGTGGGGCCTCTGCTTAGGACCTGCCCACGGAAGGGGAGAGGCAGCACGTCAAAAGGATGGCCTCTGGAGTGTGGAGTTCCGGAGTTTGGAGGTAGGGCGCCGAGTGAGGGTGTGTGGGTGGGGTTTAGGTCCATTGCGTTGGAGGGGGTCTCAGAGGGTGTCTCCGAGTGTAGAGGTGGGGCCCTGGGTGTGGGTATAGGGGTGGGCCTTGGGCTCTGCGGGGCACAAGGGAGGCTCCAATGGCAGAGGATTAGGCCTCCCGGTGCCTAAGTGGACAGGGAAGGCACTGGCCCCATTCCTTCGTGCCCCTCCCCCACCATCTCCCGCAGGGTCTCCCCCATCGCCACTGGACACCTAACTGGGGGGGGTCCTGCTGGGTGTAGGAACTCCTCCCCTCCCCCAGCCACCCCTCTGGGGTGCTGGTCCCGGAGGTCCGGCCTTTGCTTTTACTCCCCCTTCCCTCCCTCCCACTCCCTCAGGACCCGTGTGGCTGGAGGGGCCCTAGGTGGGCAGAGGATCAGGCCTGGGATCTCAGCAGGTTCCTGGGGGCCCAAGTGGGCAGGAGAAGCATGGCAACTCTCCCTTTTGATACTCTGCCCTCCCAGTGGTTCCCCAATTTCCCCCTTCGGGCGTGGGAATCCCTTGCCCTCCCCCAGCCGCCCCTCAGGGGCGCCAGTCTTGTCCAGCCTCCGCTTCTCCTCCCCCTTCGCTCCCCCAATGCCCCATGTCCTACCCAGTTGCTGGGGGTTCCTCCCATCCCCTTAGGTGTCTGTGGTCCCCCACTGGTGCCTGGTAGGTGCCCTAATTGTGAGGAGATGCGCATTCTGCATCCTCCTAGTATGCTGTCTTGACTCCGCCCCCCACTTTTTTTAATAAAGTTTTTTTTTTTTAAATTTTATTTATTTTTGGCTGCATTGGGTCTTCGTTGCTTTGTGCGGGCATTCTCTAGTTGTGGCGAGCAGGGGCTACTCTTTGTTGCAGTGCTTGAGCTCGTTGTGGTGGCTTCTCTTGTTGCAGAGCATGGGTTCTAGGCGCGCAGGCTTCAGTAGTTGCAGCACAGAGCTCAGTAGTTTTGGTGCACGGGCTTAGTTGCTCTGCGGCATGTGGTATCTTCCCGGACCAGGGATCGAACCCGTGTTCCCTGCATTGGTAGGCGGATTCTCAACCACTGTGCCACCAGGGAAGTCCCTCATAGATTCTTAGAAGTGGGGGGGCCTCAGGAGTCATCTAGGCCTTTCCAACCCCCATCACTGACCGGAAACCTCTGTGCCATCAGTTGACCAGCGTGTTTATAGACCTCTGCTGGAACAGGTTATCTTTGAGGCCCTTTGAGGCTATTGGGCTCTTGTATTGACAGCTTTGATTGTTGGAAAAATCCTTTCTTATACTGAGTTGAAATGTGCCCTTTGTAACTTCTGCCCTTTGGTCCTTGTGCTGCCCTCTGAAGAAATGTTGGCTGAATTTATTCCCACATGATGGCACCCCTTCAGGTACTTGAAGCTACTGTGGCCCTAGTTAAGCCTTTTTTCTCTTTTCCAAATCTACAGATCCCTTTCTTGCTTCCTGTGGAAAGTAGTCCTGCACTGTTCTAGTCACTTTCTCCCGTGGAACAGCTTCGGTTGGCAGGTCCTGTTTAGAGTATGGTACTCAGAATGGGACACTATTCACAGACCAGGACAGACAATAGTGGGGCTACCTACTGCCTTCCTCTAACCTGGATACTATGCTGCTATTTGTTTCTATGGATATTGGTCCCAAATTCTCTCAGTCTTTTGGTGTGTGTGTGTGTGTGTGTGTGTGTGTGTGTGTATATATATATATATATTTTTTTTAATTAATTTATTTTAAAAATAAATTTATTTATTTTATTTATTTATTTTTGGCTGTGTTGGGTCTTCGTTGCTGCATGCAGGCTTTCTTTAGTTGCAGTAAGCAGGAGCTACTCTTTGTTGCGGTGCGTGGGCTTCTCATTGCGGTGACTTCTCATCACGGAGCACAGGCTCTAGGCGTGCGGGCTTCAGTAGTTGTGGCATGCGGCTCAGTAGTTGTGTCTCTCGGGCTCTAGAGCACAGGCTCAGTAGTTGTGGCGCACGGGCTTAGATGCTCCGCGTCATGTGGGATCTTCCCGGACCAGGGCTCGAACCCGTGTCCCCTGCATTGGCAGGTGGATTCTCAACCACTGCGCCACCAGGGAAGCCCCTTGGTATATATTTTAATACATTGTGTTCGATCATTTAACTGAAAAGCATATTTGATGTTATCTAAGATGTTTGGTACTACCCATTTTGGTATTTCTATCAGTGGTTCATTTCATTAAAGACTTGCTTTTATGTTAATTTAAGCTTATCTTTTCATATTCATTTTTTATCATTTTTAAGATGGTATTACTTTGCTAAGATTTGTGAGGTTTTGTTTGATAATATCTTACACTGCTATTTGGATCATTTAATTGGTGCTCTTTTTTTCCAATTACCATATGTAACTGAATCAATATCTTTCTAGATCCATATGTTAAACTGCTGCTTGATGCCATGAAGCATTCGGGCTGGTAAGTGAATCTTTTTGAAGTGCTGCTCTATATTCTGGCTGCTGAAAACAAAAAATCCCCACCCAAACTGGAAGTACTTGAGATATTTCACTTCAGGCCACAAAGCCCTTTCCATATGGTAGGTGGTGGTGGTTGGCTGCACTCTCCCCAGGCAGGCCGTGTTCTCTCTGGACCTCTTCAGCCCTAACTCCACATCTTTGGCTCTGCTGTTCACCTCAGGTATTTAGTAAAGACGATACTTAAAATCTTACTTGTAAGTAACCACCAAACCTGGTTTTTCCACTATGCCAGTCCCAGCATTATCCTTAATGGAGAAGAAATCTCAGCTTGTTATGCATGTAGAAGCCTTCCAGGTGTTGTTTAACTTTGAGGAGATCGGAAGAAGTGATTTCTGAGGTCCACTTCTTAACATTCTGGCCCAAGGGCAGAAACTCCAGCATATTTCCAATACGGTCTTAATGAGTTGATCAAATTCTTTATGGAATCATAGCATAGAATTTGAACTGGGATAGATTTTGCAGAGACAGTTTCCTTATTTACAGATGAGAGAACTGAGTCCTGAAGGTGTTGAGTTGCTTTCCCAAGGTGTCCTGTGTGATAGTGATGGAGAGATGTGTCATCTGGGTCTCCTGGCCCAGGGCTGTTTCCCCTGTGCCCCATGCACACTACTTCTGGATGTTGTCTTTTTAAATCCATTCTTACCTTCCAGCGCTGTTAACAAAGAAAGACACTTTTCTTGTGAAGATTGTAATGGAAATGTCAGTGGAGGTTTTGATGCTTCAGTGTCTCAGGTAGGCGGTCTACCAAGCTGTCTTCTTTCCTCCAGTTCTCTCTCCTGATGTTTGCTGATTGCCTTCTATGTGCTGGGCATTCCATTTGGTAGACTTTGTGTAGAATTCAAAAAATGAGTTAATTGTGGTCCTTACTCTTAAGGTCCTTACGTCTCACAGGGGAGACAAGACAGGAACGCAGAGACAATGATAAAATTTGAGGCGGGTTGAACTCTTTGAGGTGGGTGTGGTTACCACAATGGGACAGTGATGTGATTGACTGAAAGATGCCAGCAGATTCAGCTAGAGGATGTAAAGGCTCTTCAGGGGCAAAGAAGACAAAGACTGTTGCCAAAAGCAGGGGGAGCACGAGCAAAGGTGACGTGTTGAGAAAGCACAAGGTGTATTTGGGGAATGGCATGTTGTCTAGTTCAGCTGGAGGGCAGGAATGCATGGGGAATGAGGAGAAATAGGATTGGAAAGAAAGATAGGCTATATGGTGGGAGGCTTTGAATGCCAAGATAGAGTTTCACCTTTACACGGTGAGAAGTGATAGATCTTTGAGAATTTTTGATGAGGAGAGTGAGTTTTCTCACCTGTAAAATATGGGTAATGATTGTATTTATCTTATAGAATGGTTATGAGAATTAAATGCGATTTCTCTTGTAAACTACTTATCATAGTAAGCAGAGCACTTAAGTCAATAAATGTTACAAGTTTTAAGTCAATGGGGGGTTTTGACAGTCTTGAGGTGGTAGATGGATGTGTCATGTGATATGAGGGTAGATAAAAGTGTTGTAAGTCACTGTTTCCATCATGAATATATGACACATTGAAGTACATTTAACTGTTTCCTGCTAGGGAATTTTATATGTATTTGAGTTATTTATAGCTGTTTCATGGTAATCATGGGAAAGAGCAACATAGCAGAGGGGTGAGGTGTCTGAGTTTTGGAGTCACATAGACTTTGAGTTCAAATCCTAGTTCCCCTGCTTATTAGCTGTGGGGCTTGGGCAAGTTATTCGGTTTTATTCTCAGTTTCCTCATTTGTAAATTGATAATCGCCAACACCTGTAGCTCCCAAGATGGGTCTTGGTAAGTTCATCCTCTTTGGGGGTTAGAGTGCACGTTTTGAATCTTCATCTTATTTCTCAGCAGTGTTATACACAGTTGGGCACTCTTTTTTTTTTTTTTTAATTAAAATTTTTGTTGTGAAGTATCTCATTCATATAGAAGAGTAAAATACCTGTATGTACACTTTCAGTCATAATAGTAAAATGAACATCTATATAACTACCACCCAGATTTGAGAAATAAAACACTGCCAGGACTTCAGAAGCCTGTGTGCCCCTCTTGGGTTACAACCCCCTCCCTTCCTTATTCTGACTTCCGTGATGACCATTCCTTGCTTGTCTGAATGGTTTTGCCATCTATGTGTACAGTCCAACAATGTGTTTAGTTTCCTCCTTTTAAGCTTTATACTTGGGGTCATGTGTAATACTTTGTCATTTTATGAAATCATACAGTCTTTGTAACTTAATTCTTTCGTTCAACATCGTGAGATTCTTCTGTGTTGTGTGCACCTCTGGTTAATTTAGTTTGTGTTGTATATTATTCCATTATATGTCTGTACTAGTGTTTACCCTATCGAGTATCGATTGTTTCCAACTTTATTATTATTATAAACAAGGCTGCTGTGAATGTTCTTCACCTTCTCTCCCAGTGCTCTTGGGCAAGAGTTATTCCAAGGTATCTGGCTAGAGTGGAGGTCCTATCACATGCATACACTTAACAGCTAATGCCACTTTCTTGCCATGGTTTCCAGTATGCCACACTCTTGTGGTTGCTCCTTTGCTAACTTAGCTTCCTCTACCAGCCCTTAAATGAAGTCCCTTAATCCTTGGTGTTAGAGCCCCTTCTTTTCTACTCTGCATTCTACCAAGCGGATCTCATTTACTTTGCTGGGTCAGAGCTTTCTCTTGAACTCCACATCCATATCGCCAAGTGTTCACTGAACACCTACACTTGGGTGTCCTAAAGGCACCTCAGACGTGACATGTCCAAGTTCAAATTGATTTTTACGATCCTCCATCCCCACCCATCCTGGTCTTTTAGTTTTGCATATCTCGGTGAACGGTACCACCATCCGTCCTATTACCCATGCCAGAAATTTAGGGATCATCCTTGATACCTCTGATTCCCTTCCCATATTCTGTCCGACACCAAATTTTGTCCAGTCTCCCTCCTAAATACCTTTTTAGGCCCCCACCATCCTAGCTCTGGAACTATTATCTCTTGCCTAGAATACTTCATTTGCCTTCAACTAGTCTCTGTGTATCCAGTTTTGATCATCTTTTGTTTATTTTTCCAACTGTGGTCAAAAGGATAAAAACAAAATAAAACACCCCCCGTTTCACTACTCCCTTTCAGTGACTTCCCACTGTTGTCAGGATAAAGAGTGATTTGGCCCCTGCCGACCTCACCAGCCCTATCTCATGCCTGCCACCTCCAACTCTGTGCTTGGTACTACAGGCCTGCCGCCGTCAGCTTCTCCAACATTCTTTTCCTTCAACCCTCCCCCTACCCTTTGCCTATGTTGTTCTCTGTCTGGAATGCTCCCTTCCCCTCTCCTCGAATTTAACTCCTGTTCATCCATTAGATCCCAGTTTAAACATTCCTTCTGCAGAAAAGCCTTTCCCAACCCTGCAGACCAGGTCAGGCACTCTCATTGTATGTACTCGTGACAACCTGGGTTTTTCTTCATGACAACTGTCACTGCATGTGTTTAAACATTTTGGTAAATACTTGATTAATTTCTATCTCCATTAGTAGATTATAAATCTCTAGTAGGTCTTGATAAATATTAGTTGAATAAATGAATGTTGAATGAATGTATATAAAATACCTGGGACATGTCCCAGTGTCTGGCACACAGTAAGTACACAGTAAGTGGGGACTATTATTATTAGGACCCCTCACGTCTTTATTATTCTTATAGGGTCCTGCTCAGTGTGCTGCTGGCTTTTTGCACTTCTTTCTGAAGCTCTTTCTGAGGACTTTTCCTGGCAATTCTAGTAGGATGGGACAGTGTGGTCATTCATTGTTGATTCATTGCTTATTGAGAAACTTGATAAGAAACATTTTACACATATTCTCATTTAATTCTCACAATTCTAAGAGGTAGGTACTCTAAGTCATCTCCTTTTTTATAGTTGAGGAAACGGCGGCACAGAAAGCTTAAGAAACTTGCCCAAGGTCACTGACTTAGTAAGGAGTGGGGCTGGAATTTGAATCTCCCTGCTTCATTCCAGAGTCCACTCTTAATACAAGACTGTGGAGTCTAAGATGGCTGGTACAGTCAACCCAGTGAGGGTGGTGTGTGAATAAATGTCCTTAAACTAAGTGCTATGTAGTCCAGAGAGAGGAGAAGGGAGAAGTTAGCCATTGGGAAGGCTTCATGGAGAATGTATGAAGACCGAGCCTTGATGGAGGGGTGGGTGTTGGGTGGATAGAGTGGGTGAGGCTTTCCAGGCAGTTGAGCCCACTCAGGTGAGAGAGAAGATGGAATCTACGAAGTGAGAGTAGATCTTAGAAATAACCGAACTCTCCTCATTTTGGTGCTTCTTAGATTGTTTTGTGCCAGAATAATATCTGTAATCAGGCGCATATGAACAGAGTGGTCACCCATGAGCTCATTCACGCATTCGATCATTGTCGAGCTCATGTCGACTGGTTCACCAACGTCAGGCACTTGGCTTGCTCTGAGGTAAGTTTTATCGTAGAAGGTACTTTTTCCCCAAGGACACTGTTGTGCATTTGAACATTTTATTCAAGGATGATTTATTTAAATGTATTCCTTTTCTTGTCATAATTCCACGTTAGTCTTCAGTTTACATTTTTAACTATTGAATACAATTCTTTTAGATACAGCAGGTAGACATTTTTAAGTATCTTTTTAGAATTGTCTTAAATATGACCTTTAAATCCTAATAATAGTGATGACTTTTAATAATAAGCTATTTTTCCTATGGAATAAACTATATAATACAAAAACTTTACAGTTAACATTTACTGAGGGGCTGTGTGCCAAACCCTAACCCTGTGCTGTTTGTGGACTCTTTTTTTTTTGCGGTACGCGGGCCTCTCACTGTTGTGGCCTCTCCCGTTGCGGAGCACAGGCTTCGGACGCGCAGGCTCAGCGGCCATGGCTTACGGGCCCAGCCGCTCCACGGCATGTGGGATCTTCCCGGACCGGGGCACGAACCCGTGTCCCCTGCATTGGCAGTTGGACTCTCAACCACTGTGCCACCAGGGAAGCCCTGTGGACTCTTACTTAATATTCACAACAGCCCATTGAGGTAGATACTGTTATCCCCATTTTATTTCTGTGAAAAGTGAGGCAGTTGTTCAGATACCATACATAGTAAGTGGCAGAGGCAGGATTACAACCAAGGTTCTTGAGTGGTTTCCTGTGCTGCCTTCCATAGGTAAAGTTCCTAGCTTTCCCTAGAGTAAAACAGTTCGTTTCAAAAATACAGCATAGGAGGGCTTCCCTGGTGGCGCAGTGGTTGAGAGTCTGCCTGCCAATGCAGGGGACGTGGGTTCTTGCCCCGGTCCGGGAAGATCCCACATGCCGCGGAGCGCCTAGGCCCGTGAGCCATGGCCGCTGAGCCTGTGCATCCGGAGCCTGTGCTCTGCAACGGGAGAGGCCACAACAGCGAGAGGCCCGCATATCGCAAAAATACAGCATAGGAAGATATTTATTATTAAGCATTTTGGATTGCTGTCAGAAATACACACATATATATGCTCCCAGAAAGACATTTGTATTTCATACTTGCATTTCATTAATTGAAGAGTGCAGTGTGCTGAGAAGCTAAAGAAAACTAATACAAATTTCAAGCTTATACTTTATAACTTAGATTATTTTCTCTTTCCCTTGAAATTAATAAGTAGCCTCACTGCATCTGATTATAACTCATATTATTTGGAAAGAAGACCGAAATCTGAGCTTTTAAATATTTCTCTCTCTTGGGTGTTATGAGAATTAATGCCTGTTAGCTAGTTAAAGTGTGTTAAGTGCTTTGAGCTCCTCAGAGGAATGAAGCCATGTTATTATAGAAGTAACAAGAAGTGGGCCATTCTGATTGCAGTGAATGAGCAAAAACGTGGCCAGGTTGGCTGTAGAATCCATGTGGGTAATTCCATGACCTTTTCACCTATTAAAGCTGCTTTTTACCTTAAAGATATAGAAAATACATACTAACTTCAGGCTGTCATGTTCATAGCATGCCCAGTTTGGAATGTTCTTGATTCTCTGTACCACTTAATTTTTCATAGGCCCATCAAGACCCTGGAGGAAGGGCATGAACTTACACGGGTTTAAGGGAAGGTCCAAGAGAGTTTCAGTGGTTTGGGCTAGGAGAGCTGGGAGGTTTGTGTGCCTAAAGTGTCTTAGGTACTGATGTATTCAGTTTTAAGCTCACACTGAAACTCAGTTTGTAGATCTTTGGAAGAATGCTTTCTTGAAGTCCTTTTGGTAATTTCTAGCAGTGTTTGTATTTTGTAGAGAGCATAATCTTTAACTTTGAGGTCCAACTCTTTGACTTTTGGTTCCAAAAGAAATTAGTTCTGTCTGTAAGACTCTGGTGGAAAGTTTTGAAAATTCCCTTTGAATAGGTGATTGCCCACAGTGTATCTGGCGCTGCCTAGTGTAGCTCATGGATATCTGCTCTTTTTCTTAAGAACTTCTTAAGAAGTCAATAGAATTAAAAAAAAAAATCTTACAGGTACTCTGTTCTCAGAAAAATATACCAATTTTATATTTTACAATTAAAAAAATCAGTTGATATAAAGGTATAGAGCACGAGTGCTTATTTTCTTTTTGTTTGCCTTCTGTCTTTGTGATAGGTTCGAGCTGCTAACCTTAGTGGAGACTGCTCACTTTTAAATGAAATATTCAGGTTACATTTTGGATTAAAACGACACCATCAGGTAAAAACTAACATATGAAATCATTTACTGTTAAGAGTGCTATGAGTGGAAATAATGAATAGAAAAATGAGAAGTATATTTAGTATTTGAAATTTGAAAGCACTACTTATATGAAAGAATACAAAATGTGTATCCCTGAAGCCAAATAGATGGAATTCAGTTCTATTTTATAATTATGGGCAAGCTGTGTGACTGAGAGATTTTCACAGTGAAAAGCGCTACGGTCTCACACGTGGGATACTTTTGGATGGGGGTAGATAAGGACTGGAAGTGAAATCACAGCCTGTCTTACTTTTATCCTACCAGTACTGGACTTGTGTTTTGAAACCATCACAGTATTCTCTCGACAAAAAAGTAATACCTGTCAGCACAGAGACTGCACTGCAGCGCACTGTGTATTAGCACACCTTTAAAGGCTGTATGACGTGACAGCAAAGCTTCGGATCAGCACAGACTTGATCATGATGAGCTGAGCTGAGCGATTTTGTAAACAAAACAAAATGAAAACTGTAGGCAAGACCATCCTGCTAGAAAGCTTTTTTGTTGTTTTTGTCTAAAAGAAACACTTTATATTTTTTTATTGGGATATAGTTGTTTTACAATGTTGTGTTAGTTTCTACTGTACTAGAAAGCTTTTAAGGTCCACGATAGATGGGCATGGGGAGAGGAAGTTTAGAACTGATGGACTGGTGAAGAATGTGAGCAGTTCTGCCCATAGCAACCAAGGGGCTCTGTGTCCACATTTAGGAGAAAGGCTGGTCAGAGCTCTTCTATGGGAAGAGGTTACTGGGCCAATTTGTCAGGTACATGGGCGTCAGGATAGCAGTTTTAACCAGATGCAAAAAGGACAGGCTTGGAACAATAGCAGGAAGGCCCTTGGCTCTCCAGAGAAAAGAGTAACTCAACTCGGGGGAGGAAGGTAGAAGGTCACAGAGAACTACGAAGAGAAATTTTGAACTCAGTGAATGGGAGTTAGTTAGACGGCAAACCTGGGGCCTGGGAAGGGTGCCTACTCTGATAGGGCTGTTACGCTTTCAGCGTGTGCCAAGTCCGCTTAGTGATGTGCCACTGACTTGTGCTGCATGTCTTCCGTGCCCTCCAATCCCTGCTCATCTGGTGAATTCAGCTCAGGCAGCCTTTGAATGGGTGGTGTGTTCTGGCTCTCAGTGGAAGTAGGGTGCACATCAGAACATCCCAGAGAAGAGGCTAATGCAGTTAAGGCATGTCATCCGGAGTCCAGTCTTTGAAAGAGAAGTCTCTCCTCTTTTAAACTTGGGTAGCAGCAGCAGAAAATGAATAGAACTAGCAATAGGATGGAAAATATGTGGAGGTAGTGGGAGAAGAGTCCTAGAGAACAGAGTCCCTGCTTTTGTGCAGTATGTACCCAAGAAAAAAGTTGTTTGATTTTTTCCCCCTGAAAAATTAGGATGCCTTCAAATTTTGTGTGTATGTATGTGTGGCTTCCTGTTGCCTCCAGGGGAGATGCCCCTCTCGAAGGAAAAGTTATCTAGCATTGGTCACCTGAAAAGCTAAGGGAGAGAGAGGCACAGGAGTATATTTCGTATTTATTCAAATTAAAAAGCTCAACCAGAACCTTATAGACTTTTTTATGATTTTGCAAAGTTGGAGTTATTGTTTAGCAGATACTGCCTAGAAATTATCATCATTAGGAAAGATGAGAAGAAGGGAGGAGGGGAAGGAGATCTTACTTATACCTAAATAATTTTAGGTTGAGCTAAACATGTTCCATAATTTAATCTTTCTTCTTTGGACTGACAAATTAATAAAGTAACATGAGAGGAAATTAATTTTGACTGTGGTTCACACATTGTATAAAATGTTACTATTTCATGACAAAATTTTCATATATTAATAAAATTAAAGCCACATACTTTTCTCCTTAGACTTGTGTGCGAGACAGAGCCATTCGTTCTATCCTGGCTGTTAGGAACATCAGCAAAGAAGTAGCTCAGAAGGCTGTTGATGAAGTTTTTGAATCTTGTTTCAATGACCATGAACCTTTTGGAAGGATCCCTCATAATAAGACCTATGCAAGATATGCTCATAGAGACTTTCAAAACCGGGATCGGTACTACTCAAACATATGAAGACGATGACATTTTATATGGCAGAGCTTCAGTGATCATGAAGAAAGTATGGTTCCCAAGTGGACAAACATAAAACGTAAATGAGCAATTAAATACAGAGAAGACACAGAAGATTCTAGCACAGAAGATTCTAGCATCAGAAAAAGTAACTGTGGTAAGAAATGAAACTGCCTTAAACTCCAAGGCAAAAATTGTATCTTTGTAGCTAACCATTTGGTAAATAAGGCAAATAAATAGCATTTTTAAATTTTCTACAATGTACTTATTACTTGTGTTTTATTTTTTATGATTGTGATTTGCTTTTATTACATTTTAAAACTTGATTATGAAACCTGTGAAGTATGCCCTTTATGATGTGTATGTCTTCTTTGGAAAAATGTCTGTTCAAATCCTCTGCCCATTTTAAAATCAGGTTGTTTATTTTGATATTGAGTTGTATGAGTTCTTTGTATATTTTGGATGGTAACCCCTTATCAGATATTGTTTGCAAATATCTTCTCCCATTCAGTAGGTGGCGGAGCGCAGGCTCAGCGGCCATGGCTCACGGACCCAGCCGCTCCGCGGCATGTGGGATCTTCCCGGACCAGGGCACGAACCCATGTCCCCTGCATCGGCAGGCGGACTCTCAACCACTGCGCCACCAGGGAAGCCCATCACCTGCATTTTTTTCTCACATTATTTTCTTCTTTCTCTTCCCTGCTGATTTCTGCTTCTAATTTATATAATGCAAGTGTGAGAGTTCCCAAGAGCAGAATTTGGTTCTACAGAAATTACCAAGTAGAATATCTGGGATTTTATGAGGATAATATTTTTTCAACAGGTACCAAGGCTAAGTTAAAAGGGAAAAATTAATCACGTGACATCCTAAGTGTCAAGTGGCAGCTTCTCTGAGTGCTAATTGCGTTCATACCGCCTCACATCCAAGGTGGTAAAATAAGGGGGAAAAAAACTGGGTCAAGGAAACTCTCCTAACATAATGCTTCTTTTTCTGAAGATTAATAAGTCCCAGAGTCCCACAGCAAAGGCCAAAGCTGTATGTACGTACCTTTCAAATCTGGATCTGCTGGGTCAAAGCCCGACATGTCTGGAGGGGCCAGGCTGGCCCCTAGAGTGCTCACTTATTAGTAGGAGGCCCTGGGGAGCCTTGTAAGCGTCAAGTGGCTGGACTCAGCATTCAGTAATGGAACCACAGCTCCCCCTCATTCTCCCAACCACAGCATAAGGAGGAGAATCAATCAGAGGGAAAAAATAAACATTGCATTAATTCAATAAATATTTATTAAGCTCTATCTACTATGTACTGATGTAGGCACTAGGGATACTGAAGTGTCCAACATGGGTTGGATCTTTGTCATCGTGGGGAACAGCTGCACCAGAGAGGAAGTGTGCAGTTGTTTGGGGATATAAAATTTGGCACCTAACCTAGAGAAGTGATATTTAAACTCGAGACCTGAGGGGCTTCCCTGGTGGCACAGTGGTTAAGAATCCGCCTGCCAATGCAGGGGACACGGGTCCAAACCTTGGTCCGGGAAGATCCCACATGCTGCAGAGCAGCTAAGCCCATGCGCCACGACTGTTGAGCCTGCGCTCTAGAGCGTGCGTGCCACAACTACTGAAGCCCGTGTGCCTAGAGCACATGCTCTGCAACAAGAGAAGCCACCGCAATGAGACCGTGCACTGCAACGAAGAGTAGCCCCCGCTCACCGCAGCTAGAGAAAGACCGCGCAGCTACGAAGACCCAGCGCAGCCAAAAAAAAAAAAACACAACAACAACTTGAGATCTGAGTATGAGAAGGAGTTAGCAAGTCAAGGGGGTGGGGAAGGAGACTTCCAGACAAGAGGAGACCCTTTGTGTGAAGGCCTTAGAAGGGGGCAGGGACAGTGAGAGAAGGGTTGTGGAAAGGGATAATGTGGAACAAAGTACCTGGTTCTCAAGGAAGCTGGTACCCAATTCCCAGGGAGAGGAGAAGCTCTGTGACCTGAGTGTCAAATAAAAAAGGTAAGCAGTGGGAAAGAATGAAATATTCTGTAAATGGTTTGGAGAAAACTGGAGACCTGGAAAAAATTAAGTTAAATGCCTCATTCATTTATACCACAGTAAGTCCCAGAGATATCAAAGATGTTAATAGTAAAGAAAGCCATAAAAATACCAGAACATGGGAGAATTTTTAACATAATCTTAGAATGGGAATGCCTAAAGTGGCATAAAAATTGCAAAACCATAAAACAAGTTATTGATATACTTAACAGCATTTTTTAATCTTCAAAAAATTTAAATAAAATATTTTCAACATGGTATCCTGAAAGATGTTATTCATAATAAAGTGATGACTATTTACATCTATATTAAAAAAAAACAAAAATGAGGAAATAACATGAACAGAAAATGCAAGTAGGTGCCTCTTTAAGCATACGACTTATGTGACCTTACCTATAATAAGAAATGTGTAAACTGTGGCATACTGTTTTCACCGAAGAGGTTTACAAGGGTCAAATATATGATATACATCAAACTAAAGAGCTTCTGCACAGCAAAGGGAACCATTAACAAAATGAAAGGCAACTTACTGAGTGGGAGAAAATATTTGCAAATCATATACCTGATAAGGGGTTAATACCCCAAATATATCAAGAACTCATATAATTCAATAGTAAAACCCCGCAAACAACCTGATTAAAAAAATGGGCAGAGGATCTGAATAGACATTTTTCCAAAGAAGACATATAGATGGCCAACAGGAACATGAAAAGATGCTCTGCGTCACTCATCATCATGGAAATGCAAATCAAAACCACAATGAAATTATCACCTTACACCTGTTAAAATGACTATTATAAAAAAGACAAGAAATAATGTGTTGGCGAGCATGTGGAGAAAAAGGAATCCTCATGCTCTGTTGGTGCAGCCACTGTGGAAAACAGTATGGAGGTTTCTCAAAAAATTAAAAATAGAACTACCATATGATCCAGCAATTCCAATTCTGGGTATTAACCTGAAGAAAACTAAAAGACTAACTTGAAAAGCAGAAACTAACACAACATTGTAAAGCAACTATACTCCAATTAAAAAAAAAAAGTTAAAAAAAAAGACATATGCACCCCTACGTTCATTGCAGTATTATTTACAATAGCCAAGATATGGAAACAACCTAAGTGTCCCTCGCTGGATGTGGGTGAATGGATAAAGACATTGTGAACAGGTTGATGGCTGCCTGAGGCAGGGGGTGGAGGTGTGGGAGAATGGGTTAAGGGGGTCAAAGCGTGCAAACTTTCAGTTATGAAATAAGTCACGTGGATGTGATGTACAGGATGGTGACTATAGTTAATCATACTGTATTGCATACAGTGGTCCTCCCTTACCTGTGGGGGAAATGGTCCAAGACCACCCCCGCCATGGATGCCTGAAAACTTGTATAGTACAGAATCCTGTATATACTATGTCTTCCTGTGCATACAGACCTATGATAAAGTTTAATTTATAAATTAGGCACAGTAAAAGGCGAACAATAATAGTAAAATAGAACAATTATAACAATACACTATAATAATTATGCAAATGTGGTTTCCCTCTCAAAATATCGTATTGTATTGATACAAATGTAATGCCTTTCCCATCATAATCAAGCACTTACACATTGTGGCCATAACTTTTGCAGTTTCAGGCATGACAGCAAAACTAGCACAGTGTTTTTTTCCTTTTTTCACAATTTAATGGACAGATTTGTTCTCTACAGTGAATCTTAGCAACCTCAACATATGATTTTTTTTCTTTCCTAATTAAGTTGAAAACTTTCACCTATTCACTTAAAGAAAGTACTTTATGGCTTCAGTCTGGCAGATCTGAATTGCCAGTATCACTACTCTTGCACTTTGGGGCATTATTAAGTAAAAGAAGGGTTATTGAACACAAGCTCTGAGATACCATGATGGTTGACCTGTTAACCAAGTTAGCTAATAAGTGACTAATGGGTGGGATACGATGAGCAAAGGGATGATTCATGCCCCAGACGAATGGATTGGGACAGTGTGAAATTTTGTCACGCTAGTTGTGTCAGTGCACAATTTAAAACTTATTATCCAGAATTGTTTATTTCTGGAATTTTCCATTTAATATTTTTGGACCATGGTTGACCACAGGTAACTGAACCACGGATAAGGGGGGACTACTGTATTTGAAAGTTGCTAAGAGAGTAAATCTTTTTTTAAAAAAATATATTTTTTATTTTTTTGGCTGTTGGCTCTTCGTTGCGGTGCATGGGCTTCTCTCTAGTTCTGGTGCATGGGCTTCTCTCTAGTTGTGGCATGCGTATTTTGTCTCTCTAGTTGTGGTGCTTGGGCTCCAGGGCACACAGACTTAGTTGCTCCATGGCATGTGGGATCTTAGTTCCCCAACCAGGGATAGAACCTGCGTCCCCTGCATTGGAAGGCGGATTCTTTACCACTGGACCACCAGGGGAGTCCCAGAGAGTAAATCTTAAAAGTTTTCATCACGGGCTTCCCTGGTGGCGCAGTGGTTGAGAGTCCGCCTGCCAATGCAGGGGACGCGGGTTTGTGCCCCAGTCCGGGAGGATCCCACATGCCGCGGAGCGGCTGGGTCCGTGAGCCATGGCCGCTGAGCCTGCGCGTCCCGAGCCTGTGCTCCGCAACGGGAGAGGCCACAGCAGTGGGAGGCCCGCGTACTGGGAAAAAAAAAAAAAAAAAAAAGTTTTCATCACAAGAAAAATCTTTTTGGTAACTATGTAAGGTGATGGATGTTAACTAGACTTATTGTGTTGATCATTTTGCAATGTATACAAATGTCAAATTATTATGTTGTACACCTGAAACTGATTAAAAAGTAAATTAAAAAAATATACTCTCAGACATTATTAGGGAGTAATTGACTGCAACCTCTAAGGAGAATAATTTGACAGGTATTATTTAAATACACATACTCTTGATATGGAAAGCTCTCCATGATATATTAAGTGAAAACAGCAGGGCATTGGACAAGGAAAGGAGGAAAAAGACAATATATACATACATACATGCATGTTACAGGTTTCTAGAATATCCCTGTATGTAAATACAATAAGCTATAAATAGAAGTCTCCACCAGGGAAGGTGAATTGAATGTTGGAGAGAGGGAAGTGTTACTATTCTCTGTGTACACTTTTGAACCTTTTGAATTTTGTACAGGTGCTTGTAGAATCTAAAAAAATTAAATGCACATTTACTTATTCATAATTTTTTCAAAATTGTTATGTCAGTATAACCAATGTCTTTGTTCTAAGTGTGAGCAAATAGTTGCAGTGTTAACCTCAATGTTGTTAAATATGATAAATTTATTTTCATATTAGTTTCATGTTTCAAGCTATAGTCCCAAGCACACTTTTTTTTTAAAGTGTCTACCATAAAATTCCCATTTTAATTGGATTCTCTTTCAGTAGTCTTACTGCTGGCATTAGTTATCTGTTACAATGAGGAGTTCCAAATACCTGTTTCCAAAGCTACAATGCATACCCGTTTCACCACAATTTTAAAAGTACTTAGTACAAACCTTGTTTGTTTTCATTGTGCTGCCACACATATAAAATCTGACATCGTAACCATTTTTAAGTGTACAGTTCAGTGGTATTAAGTACATTCATATTGTGCGGCCATCACCATGCTTCATCTCCAGAACTAATTTCATCTTGCAGAATGGAAACTCTATATCCATTAAACAATTCCCCAACCTTCACTCCCTGACGCCCCCCAGCAACCAACGTTCTACTTTCTGTCTCTGTGATTTTGACTACTGTTAAGTACCTCAGAAGTTTGTCCTGAGGATTAGTTTACATATAAAAAACTTGGAAGAATCCCTGGCACATATATTACTAGCTATTGTTATCTAGGTATCACTGTCCAGTAGAATTTTTTTGTGATGATGGAAAAGTTTTTACCTGAACTATACAATGTGGCATACACTAGACGTATGTGGTTACTCAGTATTGAAATGTGGCTAGTGAGATTGAGGAATGGAATTTTAAATTTTATTTAATTCTAATTAAAAAATTTCAAAAAAAAAAATCAAAAAAAAAAAATTTCAGTCACATGTGACTAGTAACTGCCCTATTGAACAGCAAGAATCTAGAGCTTAGAGGCCAGGCCTGGAGTTACAGGCGGAGTTATCACCTTATGGCTGATAGTTGGAGCCATATGAATGAAGGGGAATAAATGAAAAGGGAAGGGAAGAGAGAGGGCCAAGGATTAGAAGGGGGGAATACCAGCATCTAAGGTTTTGTCAGAGAAAGAAGACATGAAGAAAATATTGTGAAAAAGACCAAAAATAGGTGTGGTTCCCTGTAAGAAAAACAGAAGAGAGTTCCAAGAAAGGGAGTGGTCGCAAAGTTACATACCATTGATTGAGTTAATACAATGAGAACTGAAACTATCGTTGACCTTACCTGTGTGCTCCAAGTAGGCCTTGTAACTTTGCAGGTAGTCGGTGGGGAGATTGGCTGTCCAGTGGAATCTGAGGCACCATTTGTAATGCTTCTGCCTTCTCTGGTGAATACACGGCAAAGACCTTGTAAAGGCATTGGCTTTGAGTGCTAGAAGAAATATTTCAATATTAATTTCCATGACTAATTCTGGTGAGATTTTAAAGACAACACTATATGCACTGCTTTCTTTTTTTTTTTTTAACATCTTTATTGGAGTATAATTGCTTTACAATGGTGTGTTAGTTTCTGCTTTATAACAAAGTGAATCAGTTATACATATACATATGTCCCCATATCTCTTCCCTCTTGTGTCTCCCTCCCTCCCACCCTCCCTATCCCACCCCTCTAGGTGGTCACAAAGCACTGAGCTGATCTCCCTGTGCTATGCGGCTGCTTCCCACTAGCTAGCTATTTTACATTTGGTAGTGTATATATGTCCATGCCACTCTCTTACTTTGTCACAGCTTACCCTTCCCCCTCCCTGTGTCCTCAAGTCCATTCTCTAGTAGGTCTGTGTCTTTATTCCCTTCTTACCCCTAGGTTCTTCATGACCTTTTTTTTTTCTTAGATTCCATATATATGTGTTAGCATACGGTATTTGTTTTTCTCTTTCTGACTTACTTCACTCTGTATGACAGACTCTAGGTCCATCCACCTCACTACAAATAACGCAATTTCGTTTCTTTTTATGGCTGAGTAATATTCCATTGTATATATGTGCCTCATCTTCTTTATCCATTTATCTGTCGATGGACACTTAGGTTGCTCCCATGTCCTGGTATCGTAAATGGAGCTGCAATGAACCAGGTTGCTCCCATGTCCTGGCTATTGTAAATGGAGCTGCAGTGAACCTTGTAGTACATGACTCTTTTTGAATTATGGTTTTCTCAGGGTATATGCCCAGTAGTGGGATTACTGGGTTGTATGGTAGTTCTATTTTTAGTTTTTTAAGGAACCTCCATACTGTTCTCCACAGTGGCTGTATCAATTTACACTCCCAGCAACAGTGCAGGAGGGTTCCCTTGTCTCCTGTGCACTGCTTTCTAAACGTAACCCTGTTGGGCTGCACCCTGCCCGCCTTCAAGGCCTGCACTTGCACAGCTTTAAGACCAAAGAAAGAGCCCAGAGTCAGCAACAGAGACATCAGTGATGGGACAGCTTAGACGGCTGAAGCAAGGTCCTGGACTGACACCCCACCGCGTGAGGTGGACAGCGGGCAGGACACGGTGGCAGGCTTCCCTGGGGAGGAGGGGGAAGGGGAGATTGCCAGTTACAGGTTGGGAATTGGGTCAGGTTGGCTCATTAGTTGTCAAGGAAACCAGCAGAGGGGCACGCCCCTCACCACCCCTTTGATCAGAACAATCACTAGCTGGGCCTGGGGCAAGTGTGTAGGAAGGTCAGTCCTGTGAGTAGGTGTGGGTGAAGCAGGCCCTGGTTAAGCCGGGCGTGTACAGGGAGAAAGAGAGCAGCCATCCTGAGTGGCCTGACTAGACACTCCACCCCTACATACCCTGTATGACCCTTAAGTATCTCGGTCCAGCCCCTCTTCCATGACATCCCTGGGGTCAGGTATGTAGGGGGCACTGCAACCAGCTGCCACAATACAATACAGACAGCAGCAGCCAAACAGCATCAAGAGTAAGATACTGGGCTTCCCTGGTGGCGCAGTGGTTGAGAGTCCGCCTGCCGATGCAGGGGACACGGGTTCGTGCCCCGGTCCGGGAGGATCCCACATGCCGCGGAGCGGCTGGGTCCGTGAGCCGTGGCCGCTGAGCCTGCGCGTCCGGAGCCTGTGCTCCGCAACGGGAGAGGCCACAACAGTGAGAGGCCCGCATACCGCCAAAAAGAAAAAAAAAAAAGAAAAGAGTAAGCTACCCAGTGTGCTCAGAACAGTCATTGCCAGGATGTGGGCACATTCTGGGCCCAGGTGCTTACCAGGTCAACGAAGCGGCAGTGCCCTGTCCAGTAATAAGGAAGGTAAGGCCGCCCCTGGTTTTCACAAACCCAGAGCCACCCCCATGGGGAGGGGAAGGCCTGGCTCTAAAAGAAACATTCTGGTGGCCTCGCCGGGGGTCAGCCGCCCTACTACACATCTGTCACCCCGTGTTACACTGGGTGCAATTAGGGGTGGACACATTAGGTCTTTCCAAGCAGAAAATAGTCCCACTAGTTGGACTTCTGTGTCCAGAAGCCAGCCTGTCCCACTCCACACACAGCATAGCCCAGGGAGGGTCACGGGCAGTCAGTTGTACAGTAACGTTTACGGTGGGGGGGTCCTTCTGACATGTTGCACATGGGACTGGAAGCTGGTAAGTCTTTCCCCCCATGGTCAGTCGTCCCATATAGTCACATTAGCTGGGTCAGTTTTTCATGGAAGCCCAGAGGAGGACAACAATGGTATCTCCCTGTAGACCCAGCAATAAGACTCATTGCACAGTGAGGCCGGTGTGGCTGCCCAGCCCTCGAATAGATTTCCTCCCTCAGGCTAGGGACAAAATGTAAGACATCTAACAGGCACAACACAGGGAGATGATGACAAGCAAAATACAAGCGGTAGCCACATTCTGAGATAATACCACATCCGCCTGTGGTTTCTGTCCTGGTCTGCCATACAGTTCAGAAAACTCAAGTTTTCAGTTACAGAGGACTATGTCTAACATCATGTGATGGCCACCTCATTTTACCTTGGATGTCTGAACCACAGCTACTCCATTTTGACTTTCAAATGCATTCCCTTCCGCAATGGCCAAAGCAGATGTAAAATGTATGTCTGAAAGGCCACAAAACAGGCTGCTCTTGTCAGTAAAATTTAAGTTAAACCATGTATAAGCCTCATATACAACCCCATACCTTAATACGTGTAGATTTTTCCATCATTTCCCCTTTTGATTGCAAATCTTCCAATAGAAAGCATTGATGATCAAAATATCCGTCCCTCAATGCTGGGGTGCTGGCTCCTACCCCAGGTTCAGATCATGTCCCTCGGTGCTGGACCTCCTTTATTTTCGCCTAGTTATTCACACTGGGGGAAACTTAATCAGATCTTGTGAACAGACTCAGGGGTATGTTAATGGGGAATAGGCCATACATTTTATCACTTATACCAAATTGTTACGCAAGACTTGTACATGTGCTTTTAGCAGCCGACTTAAAGCGAGCAATGTTATATACATCATGAGTAGTTACACTCTGTGATAACTTCACTGGATAATCTTTTCCTCCTGAACATCAGGGCAAGTGTGGCTAACACAATAACTTTCATCAATACAGACCTCAATTAACAGAACTAGAATTTAATATCTATTGAAACAATCTTTTTCAATCTAAAATTACTCTCATCTCCACCAAACACAGCCAAATCAAAACTAATTTGTTCGCAAAACAAGTCTGATCAATTGACCACGTAGGCTCCTCCAAAGTGGCTGAGGCAGAACTCCTCAGAAGGAGTCTCAGGCTGAATTCCCAAAAGGCCTCTCAAGGCCAAGAAAGCCATGCCAAAGACCTGCCATCAGGCTCCACCTTGGATTTCTCGGTCCCCAAATATAGAGATTCCTGCACATGCCAGGAGACCGTCTTTCCCTTTCACCTCATAAGGCTGCTCAGAACCTAAGAGTCTCCAATTTCTGGAGGGACCTGTGATCTGAAAAAAAAATTGCACAATGTGAGAGTTGTGAGTCGTTTTATTGGGGGCGAAAGGAGGACTATAGCCCTGGAGGCAGCATTTCAGAGAGCTGAGAAACTGCTCCAAAGAGGCAGGGGGGAAGGTCAGTATATATGTGATTCTGGTGAAGGCGGGGTGCATGCAGTCAAGCACACATTTTTGCAGAAGGTTTCTGCTAGGCTCGAGAAGGTTACTGCTAGTTGTGAGGAGCAGACGTCACCATGAAAGACTTCAGTGCTTTTCTAGCTACGAGGAGATGCAAGCATTGGGCTCATAAAATCTTCTCCTGAAAATATCTAACTATCTGAAGGCCTGTTCTGCCAGTTTTTCCCAGAGCACAGAGAACCTCATTCCTGATCTCCACCCCGAACTCCTTTCAGGATGTGTTGTCAGCAGTCATAGCAGCTTGGGATTTAATCCTTGTAGAGGTAGATGGCAAGGGGCAACCTTTAGTTGGCAGACCAGACAGAAAAGGGCTTCAACTTATGAACTAAGAATGCTGCTTGCCATATCAGGAAACAAAAGATGTTGCAGCCTTCAAGCTACCACATTACAGCCGCCCCTATGGTGAGCTCTGAGGGAACTCAAGATAGAAACAGGATGCCTGCCATCTAGCAGTCAACTGCTGCAGCCACCAACGACTGGTGCACCCTGAAGCTCTGGAGGAGAAAACACAGGTTACTGGCCCCAGACAGCTGAGGTGCATATCAAAGGAATGATTTCAATGAGCCCAGACTTTACCTCTTCCCATACCTAGAAAAGGGCTAATTTCATTAACTTGAGATGTCTGGTTTTCCTTAATTAACAGTAATCTTTTGATATCCCTACTACCTGCCCTTTGTTGCAGAAAGTCCTATATATCCTGGCTTCCCTCTCGCCTCTAACAATTTTCTCAGCATTATCCGAGATGCTGTGTCCAGGCTTGAAGTCCTCTGAAAGTCCGCCAACTAAAACAACTCTCAACTTTTAGGTAGCGCGTTTTTTTTCAGTCGACAAATTCTACCCATAGATGTAGTTTACCAAATTGCTGTAAGTCAAAGCTAACTTGAGGGGAAGGGCTCCCCTCTACCTGGAAAACAGATCGAAACCAGTAACATTCCAAACAAAACCCATAAACATTATAACCATATTCACCAGTAAACAACCCTTTTGTTACCTTTTTATGAAGCCATTGGGTTTTCCATTAGGATTCTTTAATTTCTTACCCCGTTCAGCTGTGTGATCTGAAATTGATCAGAGACCTGTACTTGCCAAAAGGCCTTCCTATGAATCTTCTTGAAGATGAAGCACTTTTGCAGAAGCATCAGAGCACAACAATTACTGCCTATAAATGACAAAAGACTTAAAAAGTCACCGTTGAACGCCGGATCACAATGTAATGGATAAACAAACTTGGTTACAATGACTAAATTATGTCTGATTGTAGTCTTAACACTTAAAAACGTTAATCTCTGGCAAAAACCAAGAAGCACGTAATTGTAAATTTCCTGATTGGAAAACTTAATGCTCTAGTCTTCCTCTCCCAAGCAGGCAAAGAGAGACAAACTTAGGCCTGCCCAGCAATTAATGTTCCAATATTTTACCCTATTTGAAATGAACCAGTCAATGAATTCTCTTCATTTAACTTAGTTTAGTTTCAAGTTACCAAAATCTGGAGAGACTCTTTTAGATAGATATTCCCAAAACATAATTATTCCTATATGGTTTTTCAAAAGCCTCTCTCCCTTTTCTTCGTTTACTCTTAGAGATCACATGTGATTAAAGTTCCTGAGAACCCAGGTAGATCATCTACATCTCAAAGGCACAAGAAGAGAATACATTGCTTCTAGAGAACTAGCTTAACCAGTTACAAAAGCCTCACTTTGATACAATAGCAGAACCATCGGGGCCGTTGTTCTCCAGATCTCTTGGCAGCCCCCGTTCATCCAGGACAGCCACCGGGGATTTCCCCCATAACTTTTGGGATCACCCCTGGAACTTCTGGGCACCACGTGTAGTGGACAGTCCCCCGCAGCTTTCCATTCCCCGTTGTGTATTTCTCAACATCTCGGCACTCGGGAGTTTCCTTGGTCTCCTGGCTGCTCTGCCAGTTGTTGGGCTGCACTTGCCCAGCTTTAAAACCGAAGAAAGAGCCCGGACTCACCAACAGAGACATCAGTGGTTTACTGGATGGGAGAGCTGACAGGTCTGAAGCAGGGTCCTGGAGGGACACCCCACGGCGTGCAGCAGACAGACGGTGGGCAGGACATGGTAGCAGACTTTCTCCTGGTTGTGGGAAGGGGAGATTGCCAGTTATAGGGGGAATTGATGTCAGGTGGCCTCATTAGTTCCCAGGGAAACCTCATTAGTTCCCAGGGAAACCAGCAGAGGGACACGCCCCTCACCACCCCTTTGATCAGAACAATCACTAGCTGAGGCTGGGGCAAGTCCGTAGGAAGGTCAGTCATGCGCATAGGGTATAGATGAAGCAGGCACTGGTCAAGTAGGGGACGTACAGAGAGCAAGAGAGCGGCCATCCTGAGTGGCCTGACCAGACAACCCCATAATAGACAACCCTCTAATAGAACACTATTAGAAGGCACTGGAAGATTACTGTGGCTGTTTCCATATTAAAATGTTAATGTGTGAGTCAGATTGATGGGTTTTGAACCTGAAGGATCAGTTTCATTTAATTGTATTAACCACATTGGTTTTTAAACCAGCAGAATTATTTGCAGGGCTCAGGAAGTCATTACGTGCCACCCAAGCCAGATAAATGGGTCACCTTGGGATTTGCAGCTGGAGTTTTCTTTTATGACAATACATTGGGAACCGCGTCATCTGTCCCGAAGAGACCCTGTCAGCAAGGTTCACCAAACCCGTCTTGATTAATTTTTCAAAAGCACATGAGGAGATTTACTAATTACACTTTCCAGGGTTGATTTGATCAGCTTCACTTGGTCTCACAATCAGCATATCACTGCTTTAAGCTCCAACAGATTAAAATGGTTAAAAAAGGTCTCATGGAACTGTGAACTAAATTCTAATATGACCTAAACTTGTATGCTTTAAATTACTGCATATTTGAGATGCTGCAAATAAAATGATCTAATGCGAATTCTCATACCTTTTCTGCAAAAGTAGTCAGGGAGCAAACATTAACACCTTTTGGCCAGTGAGAGATGCTGTGACAGAAAACAGGAAGATCACTCAAGTTGATACAATAACCCACTGCAGAACTATTAAGTTTTTTATTTAATTAAAAAAATTTTTAATGTTTATTTTTTTAATTTTTAAATTTTATTTATTTTTTTATACAGCAGGTTCTTATTAGTCGTCCATTTTATACACATCAGTGTATATATGTCAATCCCAATCTCCCAATTCATCACACCACCACCACCCGCTGCCGCTTTCCCCCCTTGGTGTCCCCCCTACGTTTTTTCTCTACTTCTGTGTCTCAATTTCTGCCCTGCAAACCGGTTCATCTGTACCATTTTCTAGGTTCCACATATATGCGTTAATATACTGTTTGTTTTTCTCTTTCTGACTTACTTCAGTCTGTATGACAGTCTCTAGATGCATCCATGTCTGTGCAAAAGACCCAATTTCGTTCCTTTTTAGGGCTGAGTAATATTCCATTGTATATATGTGCCACATCTTCTTTACCCATTCATCTGTCAATGGACACTTAGGTTGCTTCCATGTCCTGGCTATTGTAAATAGTGCTGCAATGAACATTGTGGTACATGACTCTTTTTGAATTATGGTTTTCTGAGGGTATATGCCCAGTAGTGGGATTGCTGGGTCATATGGTAGTTCTATTTTTAGTTTTTTAAGGCACCTCCATACTGTTCTCCATAGTGTTTGTATCAATTTACATTCCCACCAACAGTGCAAGAGGGTTCCCTTTTCTCCACACCCTCTCCAGCATTTGTTGTTTGTAGATTTTCTGATGATGCCCATTGTAACTGGTGTGAGGTGATACCTCATTGTAGTTTTGATTTGCATTTCTCTAATAATTAGTGATGTTGAGCAGCTTTTCATGTGCTTCTTGGCCATCTGTATGTCTTCTTTGGAGAAATGTCTATTTAGGTCTTCTGCCCATTTTTGGATTGGGTTGTTTGTTTTTTGATAATTGAGCTGCATGAGCTGCTTGTGTATTTTGGAGATTAATCCTTTGTCAGTTGCTTCATTTGCAAATATTTTCCCCCATTCCGAGGGTTGTCTTTTCGTCTTGTTTATGGTTTCCTTTGCTGTGCAAAAGCTTTGAAGTTTCATTAGATCCCATTTGTTTATTTTTATTTCCATTACTCTAGGAGGTGGGTCAAAAAGGACCTTGCTGTGATTTATGTCAAAGACTGTTCTTCCTACGTTTTCCTCTAAGAGTTTTATAGTGTCCGGTCTTACATTTAGGTCTCTAATCCAGAACTATTAAGTTTTTCTCTGAGCTTTCCTCCCTCCTTCATTTCTGTGGCAGTTGTCATTACAGTAATGCAGTTGTAAGTAATCTGCATTTTCAATTCACACAGGCATTCTGTAATTCCCTATTGAAACAAGTCACCTTTTCTTTTGTGACCTCTCTTAAAATCTTGCTCCTCAAAGTGTGGTCCTTGGCCCAGCAGCAACTACATCAACTGGAAGCTAGTTAAAAATGCCCAGATTCTACTAAATCAATCTGCACTGATTCACATGCAAGTCAAAGGAAAGAAGCACTTTCTGAAGGGACTTGATGGCCTCAGGACAGTGGTTTGCCACCCTGGCTGCATATTAGAATTGCCTGAGCTGCTTTAAAGGCATAAAGTTCCCTGGGATCCCAATCTCAAGGGTTCTGATTTTATTGGTCTATAGGTGGGGCCTGGGTAGCCTTGAGTTTTAAAACTTCCACAGGTGATTCTACTGTGTTGGCTTGAGATTCCCTGCCTTAGAATCGTGTTGCATCTAGGTGCCCTTATTTTCAAATCTACTATTCTGAAAACAAAGCAAAACAAAACATTCTATATGTTTTATATATCAGTAGTACTTTTTGTTGCTGCATAAAAGAAATCCAGGAATTCAGGATTTCTCTCATTCAATCCATTCATTAATTAAATAACTTTTTTAAAAAAAGAACAAATGTTTTCTAAAAAAAGAACAAATGTTTTCAATCTCAGGCCTAGCAGACCCTGCTAATGCAATCTTTTGCTTTAAGCTTTGATATGTTAAAACCTATTCAGTGTCTCGCAAATGTGAGGGAAAAACAGAAAACAGGGAGAGAGATGTTTTGCTTCTATTCATTATTATGGTAGGATAAGCACTGCGTATCACAAGAGAAAAGAATTTCAATTATGAAATTCAGAGCACACCTGAAAATAAGTAAGGTCTCCGGATAAATGCAGGCAACCCAATTAAATTTGAATTTCAGAAAAACAATGGATTCTTTTCTACTCAATAATTTAGTATTCTTTAATATATTTAGTATGAGTATGTTTCATGCAAGTACATGGGACATATTTTTATTTGCCAGATTTGGCAGTCCAAAGCAATAGGCCATGTAAAATGAGGCAAAAATTTTATCCATAGTTAATAAAAATGAGAATCTATATGATGTGCCAGTAGGATGCCTACACAAATTGCCTTTTATGGAATATTTTACAATTTAAAGAGAAATAATACAATAATACTCCATGATTACAGCTCAATAGGAAATCGCTAAGTGTTTTTGACCAAGCTACCTCTTCAGGTGAGGACTGAAAGGTTAAGAAATAATAATTTTAAATAATTCCATGCATT